CCAAAATCCATGATCTGCCTTCTCTTACAATTGCAGCATAAACAAGTCAAGAAAACTGTTTCCTTTTCTTTTCCTGCCCCCAGATGATGAGATGTTTTGAGAGAGCAAGTCAACTCTTACTCATAGCATTTCTAGGGAATGTGTGAATCATAGCTGTTAAGCTATACCGCCATGCAAGGAACGCATGTGCTATTTCTGTCGCCAGAGTAGCACAGGCAATACACAAATACACAATACACAAATAAAGAATCAGGATCTGAGTTACAGCAATCAGTTTTGTTCAGCAACCAGGATGTTGAAGAGGGAGCAATTCCTAGGGCTGGCCTCTCCATATTTGGTGGCTCTTAGTGCAAGGAACCTATAGCAGAAATTTTCCCAGAGATGCTTAAAAAATAGAGTCTTACCTTTATTACTTTGCTGCCAAAGTGGCATTCCTAAGCGCCTCAATTATTAAATATCTTCAACTATTAAATGGGGAAGGGGGGACACCTCCAAAGGACCCTGTATCTGTAGTGCAGCTGTCTGCATCTTATAACAAAATTTGTATCTTTCCAAGTTATATAGCCACAAAATTATAGAAGACTATGTAAGTGTATTGGATACTATCTTGTAAGAATATGCACAGAACAAAGTATGTGTTCCATTCTGTGCATGGAATACATTGTGGTTTGGAAGTTCTGGGCAGGCTGCAGTCTTGCAGAACTGAAACCCGGAACATCTGGGTGGTTCCAGGTTCTGGCCAAGACAATTCTGGAGGGTTCTCATGGGGCAAGTAGAGCAAGTCTGATGCACTTGACCTCCCCGACAAAGCCCATCTCCCCCCCAATCTTCCTACTTCTTCCTTTCTCATACCTGCTACCATCACCCCACCTCCATGCATGTCCATCAGCCTACCTGCTTCTCCCCCAATCTTCCAACACCTTCATTTTGCCTTATCTCCCTTCAGGTGCTGTCATGTTCCATCTCCAATTACCTTCTCCTTTTCCCACTGTCCCTACTGCAGAACACCTGCCTAGAACGTTCTGGGTCTGGATCATATACATGCAGTCTGTGCCTGGATGAAACACATAGTTTGGTCTGGGTACAACCACTCAGAATTCCTTATTCAGTGAATGGAGCAGTTTGTACCTCCCTGTTGTGTTGCTTCTAGTCCATAAGATCAATCACAGCATGTTGTTTTGATTATGTGTCATATAAGTTCATGAATGTGTTCTGTTGCTTAACTCTTGGCATTCTTGTAAGTTGCAGATAAATCTGGAACCACCTCAATTTCTATGAGTTCCTATTTGATTTCCAGGAAAAAAATATGTATCTATATAGATCAACTTTTCTCTGCACGAGTTTCCCCTCCATGCTTCAGATTTTAATTGTAAGCCACCCAGAGTCACCCTCTGGGGGAGACGGGTGGCCTAGAAATTTAATAAATAAATAAATAAATAATTTCCCCCCTTTAGATATATTAAGTAGTTCTAGAATGAACACAACAAAGCACATATTGAGTTACTGAACATACGTGAAATCTCAATTTGGACAAATATGGCTGTGAAAAATCGCATCATATTATTACTGACTTTCAAGCACATTTTTGCCTGCATGAGACATCGTATTACAAAAATTGCTGCCTGTTAAATGAAGGCTATCAAAGATTGTATAGCCCTCTGGCTAGTGGTTCATTCTTCCAACTGCAGTTCCGTATCTACAAAAATCATGTGCATTTCCCCATGATAGAGCTGCATGACAAAGCTCCCTACACATCAGAGGAAAACATAAAAGTCAAATTTTCTGACAGAGAAAAAAATCATCTATACTTTGAACCACTTAAGACTGGCTAGAAACCCTATAAAACATTTACTGAAGAAAATATTAAAAAATAGACCAGAAATAATTAGATTTCAGTGACTGAAGTTACTCAGACATAGGCATTTGGGCAGTGCATCTTCAAAATCATTGGGAAGATGTGCTTTGTGACTATGTACAAGTGCAGCACCTCTCTGCTATTCTTTAAAGCAGCCCCTTTTTTCCAGGATTTGGTGCAAGCTTAAAAATAAAATGCCACTTTAAGGAATCTGCTCATTAACATTTTACAATACTCATTAAAGTAGCTGCATCTTTTTTCAAGCTCGCGGAGAAGTTTGAAGCCCCACTTTTACCTGCTTGCTTAGTCTAGCAGGGAAGATACTCATAGTAGAGTCACTGATAAGAATAGCCTGCTAAATCAGCCCAGAGTACTGTCTAAGTCCAGCATCCTGTGTCCCACAGTGGCTAACTGGATGTGACGGGGAAGCTCAAAAGTCTGGATAAGAGAGCAAGAGCCCTCTTCCCAGCAAACAATGCCCAAACCCTGTTGCCTGTGACTCTGGAAGGAGTTAACGGCCATCAAAATTAGAAGCTCCTGAAACCCTGCCCCTCCTATAACCTTTGAAAATGATCCGCAGTCTGCTGTCACTGCAACAAATTCTACGGTTCAGCTATAACTTAGGTAAACACTGTGGTCTCCTTTCGGTCCTGAATCTTCCTGCTTTTAGTTTCCAAAAATGGCCTTGAGTTCTAATATGATAAGAAAGGGGGGGAAATTCTATATTATCAGGGGAATCTGCAGAGGGCCATCAAAAAGTCAAGATGGTGGCCAGGACCACCTGATGGAAGCCCTACCTCTTTTTTCATACGTTGCACATTCTATGCATGTAAAATGAATGGGTGGTGGCTTTGATTGCATGTCTCCCAAGGACATCCTGGCTAGGCATGATTTTGTATTCTTCTGACACACCTCTTAAGTTGGCCATAGCAAAAATTATTATGAAAGAATAACTCACTGAGTCTGTCATACAGGAATATTTATTCCCTTAAGGTAACATTTACATCTCTATGCCATGATTCTGGTAACAGTTATATTTCCTATTGCCCAGTATAGTGAATAGATTTCTTTTTTAAACATGGTCCTGTGAACAGTTGAATGTTCAAGACGGGAATACGTTGAAAGTCTATTTTATGGAAGTGCACCATCCTGGAGACAATGCAAAGTCTACAACGGCTCATCTCTGGGAACGTTCAGAAGAGAGCAGTTTGTGAGCAATATGAGATAGCCATCTTTAGTATTTGCAATTAGAAATGTTAAAGGAAATTAATATACACCTTACCCACATCCCTCAATCCATTTTTCTTAAAGAGGCAGCATTCCAGCATCTCTTTAGTAGGGAGAAAATTGTCTGTGTCCAAAATAAATTGTCTCAAAGCATTGTCACCTGAAAAGAGGTTTTGCCTTTTTCCCTTTTCAATGCTGTCCAAAACGATGCCTCGGACCTCTTTGGGCTTTCCTGGAACCCCATAGATTATGAATAAGCCGAGGCAGTCCTGCCCAACCAAGGCGCAGAATTCTTCCAGCTTTTCAAATCGGCTCTTGTTCCAAAAGAGCTCACTAGCAAGCACGGTCTCGCTCTTGCTGCCCAGGAATTCAAAAGGTTGGTCTCGGCTGAGGAGATCAGTCATCTGCAGAGACTGAACAGCAAGCTGAAGTTTAATTTTCTTGTCTGCTCCAGACAGAGTCCAAATCCAGTCGACCCCCAAAAGCAAGGATTGCTGCCTGGTCATTTTGCTGGTTGTGATGCGTTCTTCTACGCCTTTCTCAACACAGAAACTGATGAAGTTGACCAGAAAGATTTCATTCAGGGTATCCGTGGCTGGGTGGAATTTGCTCTGGGGATCCTCAAATCCCAGGTACTCTTTAAGTTTGTGGGATGCGTGAACTACTCCTTGGCTAAATATATCACACATCACCAGGATGTCAGCTTTATTCTCAAGGCTTGTTTCCTTTGCCATCTTTTGACCCATTTTCCTTTCCGAAGATGGAATTGGTCCTCAGATACTTTTTCTTAAGATTCAGGGTCCGAATAAGCAGGGCCGCGATGCTGTTGTCTCTGACCAGCATCCCGCCATGCAAACTGAACTGCTTCTGAACTGCAAACAAGGAGCGCTGGGTGTGTGGTGCAAAAACTAGTTGAACTGGTCTGTTCATTTTCGCTTTTAAAATCTCAGAGCTTTCTTTCTGTTCGCTGCACATTCCACTCCCTTTGTTGTTAATATTTGCATTTCCCATACAGTTTTCTTTAAAAATCGTAACTAGAAAGCATGAGGAAATCTGAAGTCAAGCTCAATTCCTAGCAACTTCATGAGCACGTTAGAGCAGCTTTCTGGCCACTATACAGAAGTGGTTTGCCGCTGTCTTCTACCAAGTTTTGAACTTTTCAATATTCAATATTCAATCCCTGCTACCTCAGGTGTCCTGGTAATTTCTCACCCAAGTCCTAACCCTGCTTAACATTTTGAGGTCCACCATGGTCAGCCAGATGCTATCACCTAGCTGGTTTGTGACAATGATTCAGTCTTAACTTACTTGTTCTTTAGAAATCCTAAGTCACTAACTAGAGGTATATGTACCTTACTTGATAATAGATTAACATCAAGTCTTGGTGAACTTAAGTCAAGCCACCAAGGATATGAATGAAGAACTCTCATCTTTAAAGCCCAACATGGCTCAGGACCTGGATCTTTCTGAGATCACCTTCTCTGGGTTGAATCTGTGTTGTGAGATCAGGGAAGGAGGTTTATTAAAGGCCCCACCACTGAGGGAATGCCATCTGCAGGGACCCATAGCTGAACCTCCTTGGCCATGACACCCCTCCTTTGGAACAGCCTACCTCTCGGATATCCAGGCCACTTCTCCAGGTCATGTTTTTGAAGAGCTGTGAAAATATGGCTTTTTAGGAGGGAATACAGGGACAAGTCTTCAGAAATAGAGTAGCATATCAACCTAATAGGCTGGTCAGTCATTAAGTAAATAAATAACATTTAGATTTTCAGGGGCTTACATGATGTTGACAACAGTATCCAAGGTGAAAGATATCACTGGAGTCTATTACATTACCATTTCAACAGCACAACTTAGCACATCTCATCTAACTCTTAAGTTCCAGCACTTACAATTTTGCTGATATTCCATTAGAAACACTCATTTAATCAGCAGTAGCAGCACTTCAAGTTTGAGCAGAAGCAGGCCCATAAAGGCATAAAGTGGAAAGTCAAGCCTTGGAACAACTTCCAAAACATTTGTGAGACACTAGCCGATGGTAGCTACGAGAAAAGAACTTGCAATGAATAGACAGTAACTCCAGATGATTGCACCCTTTTAACAAGCCAGTGCTGAGTCCTAGAAAATTATTACGAATGAAAAGAATGAATAGGTGGCAACTGTAAACCATCACACAAATCATAATTACATCATGGTAACTGCTACAAGGTAACTCAGAATGAATAGGTGATAACTCCAAACCACACTGCAAGTGTTAACCGCTTGAGAAACTATATTGTAGAAAGAAATGTGAATCATTTTATTTCTCAGTAGGTTTTTATTTATTTAACACGGCAATACATATATTTCCGCTGACCTCTTTGTATACAAACATCCCAATAAAATACCATAATGATATTTCATTTTGTCTACATTTATATTAACCACTTGGCTTAATTAAGAGTCTTATATTACTCTCCCCAGGCCCACAGTAATAATAAGAACTATTCTCCTAACCAGGAAAAAAAGAAAAAAGACAGCCATATGCATCAGGATTAAAAATTAATATGCCTGATGCTCTTCATAATGCGCAACAGTTTTTTTAAGATGTTTCCACTGTGGTTTGAATCTTTGGATTAACGTGATTTTGCATCTGATCTTGATTTTCTGCTTGTATTTTACCCAATCAGTGCAAAATCTATTTCTAGGGAGCAGAAGACCCAACTGTGGATAGTAGATGCATTTTACAAAGTAGCTTCAGTGAGCTGCTGGTAAGGGCGGCGTTTTGCTTTTAACTAACGAAGTGAACTCCTTAATTCATAAATTATATTTATTTACAAAGGCTGTCTGCCTTCATTTGAACAAGCTCAGCCACCCAATGAAACAAATGGTTAGGAATAAATGTAGAGAATTATTAAGGGTCAATAGCCCATGCTTGCATACACTGGATAGAGAAAGCTTTTCAACACTTTAAAGATGTAGAAACAGATTATTTTTTAGAACATCAACGCCATGAATTTTGATCATGGTTCTGACTGTAAATAAATGTGTATGTAGCAAAACATTCTTAGATCAGCACCAACCTGCGTGTGCAAATAAATTGCACAGCAGAAAATTCCATTTCAACCACATGTTCCCTGTTTCACGACAAAACAAGTTAGCCCGTCAACATAAAAGGCAAGGCAACGACTACTTGAAAAATTAAGTTTCACAAGACAAAAAGATCTGATGAGGTGAAACATTAAGATAAGCCTTTATCTAGATGCAATCTAAAATGGTACATTCCCGAGAACTGAATGAATGAGATTCAATTGAATGAATAAACTGGCAACCACTAATATGAGTACCTGAGTACATGCCAAAAATCTAACTAGCTATTCTTGCAAAAAATCTTTGGATTAGCAATTCCAAAGTTGAGGTCAACACCTCTCCATAGCACGAGCAAATCATTCAAACAGTAAATTCCAAATGTTTGCATCACCGTCACTTTATGCAAAAGTAAATTAAGTATTTCAGGGTAGTATTGGAACAGGAAAAGAGTCTGGCCAATTTTTTCAATGGCGAATCTGAATTTTACAAGTCAGATTGTTTAAAAAAAATAGTAAAAAATACATGCTTTATTTTTTAAAAAAACAAGTATAAACATCATTATGTTACGTTATCATAAACTGTAGTTCAAAGGCAAGATTTCATATTTGAATTTAATACTGTAAAATAACATGGATTGGCTAATATTCCTCTTCATTAAAGATAAAGGCTTGCGATGCAGAATTTGAGAAGAAGAAAAAATGGCTTCCCTTCCAAAGTTATGTGTTGTTTCTCAGTCTCCAGATTTTCAGCTGCAACAACTGAAGTTTAAAATGTTACGAAAAACGTATTTTATAAATGGGAAAGGGACAGTTTTCACATCGCAGGGCCATTGTAATTTTCAGCCATTTCATTCCTAATGTCAGAAAGCAGAGCCCATTTGGAAGAGGGGAGTTGGCGGGGGCAATGCAAGCAATTTCGAAGGTGAGTCTGACTTCTCTGCTATCCAGCTCCGTTTTATGTTTTAAGTTATCACCTTACATCACAGTATAAAACTTATGTACTCAATACATTTTTCTTTTTCATAAAAGCCATATTGAAAAAAGAAGTCATGCAGGAATTTCAACGTGAGAGGTTATCTGGCTGATTGGTATTTTGGACCAGTTCGAGGAAAACCGGTATTTATTTTTTCTGCAGAAATATCTACAATGGATGCTAATGCCAGAAGTCTGCAATTTAATTTTTTCCCCTTTTTTGTATTACTTGAAGAAAAAGAAAATTACAAAAGTGCATTATGGCACAATCTACATGCTTAAAATGTTATGCTGTAGAGTCTTATTAAACATGATGTCACAAGTTGCTACACTAGAGGGAAAAAAAGGTTATGAGGCTCTTTCTTCCCATCCTAACAATTTTCCAGAACTTAGATTAGACACCTCTTATTATCTCACCCCACTCCCCCATCACTTCTTACAAACAGAAGCAAAAGTGACTTCACACGATGTGTGGTGTCCATCACATACAGCAGTGGAACTCCAAGTAGGACAGGTGTCCCTCACTGACCCCGTCACACATTTGAATCCTCATCTGTTATACTGGCACTGGGAGAACGGGTGGCAAAGTCTTTGAACATTTCATCTTCTTTTAACATGTGCTGGAAATAGAAGAAGTGGAAGAATTAATTGCACTCCGGCAAAGATCAGACACAACGCTGCCACATTCCCAGTATTATAAGGAATATGCTGAGTTTGTAATTCCGCATCAATGGACAAGTGTGAAGACTCCCGCAGAAAATCTTACATAATGTACTTGCTATCAAACTATTGGCACTCAAGGATCAAGAGTTTGACTCAAATTAGGGCAGCTTCATTTTTGTCAGGCATACTGGAGAAATACAGCAAAAGCTCTTTAAGTAGAAGGCATTAAGTTCCTACCTCTTCTTTTGCGTGGTCCATTTTATGCAATTAAACAATTTCAGGTGACAATGATGTGAAAAGCAAGATGTGCATAAGGTGTTAATGAACAATCCAAGTACTGATTAAACAGACAAAATGAAATAGTGATTGGATTACATGTGGGACAACTTCATGAAGGTGCTGGTATCTGTCCCAAACCATATGTGGTCTCCAAGAACCACAGGCCCAGGATTTTTATGTGCAAGGCTATCAAATTGTAGAAAATATCTACAAATGTGTTATTTACCCAACCTTAGGACAAGGCCTCGAAATAACAGCTGGATTCAGTGGTGGTCTCATTATTCAACGAGAGACAGAGTCTCTACAGATGCTGCCCAGAGAACAGATGGTTAACCATCAACTTCCTTCAGCCTTGACTTTTACTCTGCAAAAGAGACTGCTGAGTTCTCTCCAATTAAAAATATAAGCAAAGGAGTCATCAGAATTAATGTGGTATTACATGGGGATAACTTTTGGGCACTACAATATTCAGATAATGTAGAAAAGTTCACAGAATTATACTGAAAATTGTAATGCTATTATCTAGCACTGAACTTCTGCCAACATACATCTGCTGAAGTAACTCTAAATGAAGAAGTCCCTGAATTTAAGATCTCATTCTTTCTCTCTTGCACTTAGTCACACAAACACACAAGATTTGGCAGGGAAAAAAGAAAAATGCCCCCCCCCCCAAAAAAAATCCTGGGCACCACCAGCTGTTTTCCTTGTGAACTACAGTTGCCAACTCCCACGGAAACCCATCAGGCCTCACTCCCTCAAAAGACAGGGTCTGGATGAAAAGTTCAATTTATTTAACCTCATTAACTATTACTGCTTCAAATTAATTGCCTATAAAATAAGGCATCCTGTTGGAAAACTAATTATACACACACAAGCCATTCCCTCACAGACAGGGTCTCATACAGAAAAACAGACTGTAGAAATCTGGTCCCAGCAAGCATAAAATTATTCATGCTTACTCTGCAGTAAATCCCACTGAGTTATTTTTTCCTCCTGGTAAATATGCATTAGCTGCTGATATGCTTAGGAAAATGGCTGATAGAGATTCATGAAACTGCTAATGTAAACAGCCAGCTGCAAGCTTTTCCATTATTGGTGAAAAGACTCACCTCCCCAAAGAATCACAGGAAGGCAGGGAATATATCAGTTCCAAACTAGAAATAGTTCAGTTGCTGAAATTCTTGAAATTCCAGTCAATCTTACTAAAGAAAACTACGAGAAGCTTGCTTGGAAAGACTTTAGATCAGTGTTGTCCAAACTTGGCCACTTTAAGATGAGTGGACTTCAACTGCCAGAATTCCCCAGCCAGCATGGCTGGCTGGCGAATTCTGGGAGTTGAAGCCACTCATCTTAAAGTGGCCAAGTTTGGACAACACTGCTTTAGACAGTGGTCACCAGGTACAGGTTTGTTTAGCCCAACTTAATCAATGTAAGCTAGGGTGGAAATGGGGGAAGATGGGGATTGAGCTGTTTCTTCCTTCTGTTCACAAAAAATAAAATCAGTACAAACATTTCTGCTAGAGTTGCTAGCAGAAGGAAACTTATGAATGCCTGTTCTGTAGTAAATCCCACCAAGCATAGATCTGTAGGTATCAACCTATGCGTACTTATTCCGTAAATAGTACTTCTTCATCATGTATACCTTAAGATTTCTACTCATTATTCAGCATGCTAGGTCCATTCTATTCTTCTTCACCTCCATGAGAAGAAGGTTAAATGTCTTCTACAAAGATTTCTGTCTCCATGGAGATTCTCCACCAATTGAGAAACTTAATTTTCCAGAGCCCTTCTTCACAGGAAGAGCTTCAAGAAAGATCTCAATTGCAGACAATCACTCTCTAGGTTGGAGGGTGACAAAAAGATGGAGAGCTAGCAAGCTTCTCACTATTCCCTTAAAGCATCAGCAATGGCTTTCCCTCTCTCCTGCTGTAGTAATACTACAGAAGATGATTGTAACAATAAGGAGATATGCCTTATTCTTCCCCCATGGTTTCCTTATAAAATGGCTTTTCTTCTAATGATGGTGCACAGTATGGCTAGTTAATGCTTTAGTTTTCCCAAATGTTCACAAGCCTCTATAACTTTAATTCCTCTTAATTCTTTTCTCACACCATTTAGTTCAAGAATATTATCTCTTTCCTTTAGAAGTGCTTTGCCAAGACCACATAAGGTAACAAGGTGAGAATGGATGAGCAGGTACCATCTTGCACAAATGTTTGATAACTACTTGTACAAACAATAAATGTACATAATTAGGAGGACGAGTAATTGCAACAGAATATTACATAAGCTTTCAGAAAACTGACAACTTGATACAAATAGAGAAGTTTATCTTAACACATATTCCCTAATCCAACACCAGGAGAACACAGGACAGAAGACATCTTAGTTGAAATGTCCTTTACAATTATTCAAATGTTTGGGTTTCATCCAAAGTGTATCACCAAACCATCTCCAGATGTGGTGCTATTTACACCTCCCTATATTTTGTAAAAATATACAGGTTGATAAGCACCTTAAGTGTTTGGAGCCTCTGTATAGATCTACTTGGGAAAGTTGTTATTTGCTAGTCAAAATAATCTGGGGAACATCTGTAGCTATCTTCGATGAGGATGAGAGGCTCCTAGCTATCAATCCTGAGATTTGGTCCTGTATTTACACACCTCTATTGAATGTTGCCATATCTTGTTTTATTTTCTTGTCCATGGATATTTCCTTTCTTATACTTTGTAATTATTCTTTTGTTATGCTTTGCTTAATCCACACTTTCAGCTTTTATTTCATTTGTATGCTTATTGCTTTTGAATCCATGAACTTCCTGCCCACATTTCTCTGTGGCAAAACACCTGCTTCCATTTGAGATGCTAGTTTTCATTATTTTCACCTCCTGCTCATCTGTTCACTTACAACAGCACTGTCTTTCCTGTGAATGTAAAATGGCTTGCTCCCCCTCCTATTCCCAAATAATGGGAAGCTTCATCTTCTTTTCACGAGTATACAGTAACTGCTAAATAAATCATTTGCATTATTCATGCTTTTGCATTAGAGGTGTTGATAATTACAATAGTGAAAACTGTTTTGGAGTCTTTTGCACAGATACTTTGTCTTCCTCAGTTTCTGGAATCCATGGTCACTTTACAATGTTTTGGCTTCAAACCGCTTCAAGGTCCAACTCCAGTGGCTATGATGTCACTATATGGAGATTCAGGGTGCAGAATAGCAGCATATCACAGGGAGAGGCTGACAGATACAACTGACAATTGAGAGTTCCAATTGCAGTCTGCAACTGATAGATGCAAGTGACAGATACAATTGAAAGATGCACTTTACCGATTGCAACTAACAGATGCAATTCCACCTGGTCACAAATATGCAAGCCACCTGGACTCCACTGGATTCCATGCTAACTGGTGGGTCTGCATCTTGCTCATCAACCAATCTTGAACTAACTCTGTGCTATCAGCTCAGTATCTTTACTCAAAATCTAATTATTAAGATGTTCTAGATAGTTCTTAAGCCAGGAGGAGGAGTGAAGCGTATCAATTATACAGTGCCTTAATGACTTACAGTCAAGTTGTTGATGCCTTCAGAAAATGCCCCAATTTGCCTCACGGTCCCTTCAGAATCTTCCATCTACAAGGAAGAAAGAATAATGTTGTAATATTCATACAAATCCTGTATTATATAACTGTATTAACCAATGTAAATGCTAAATTGGAAACATATATTCTTGAGGTTTTAGGCAGTGCTTGAGTAAGACTGGGAGGCTATACAAAACCCATGGACTGAAGCAGCTTTTCAAGCATTAGACTGATGAGTTACTTGGTCCTACCATCCAATATCACAGCCACTGCCTATACATAAAAAGTAACCTAAACCTTCTAGCACTTTCCTTATGGACTGTTCCCTCAGCTCAGATGACAAATTAAAAACCCAGAGAGAACTGAGCTGGAAGAATAGCAGCGTGAGCCATAGGCATCTACTGCAGGAGGGGCAAGGAGGGGCAAGGAGGGGCAAATGATTAAATATGAAGCATGATGCAACTCTCACATACTTGCACACAAAGTTGCTACAAAGTCCAAAAGGGTAGAGTGTGCACCATGATGCCCAAATGTGTATTTCATTGTTTTGATGTCATCATGGTTAGATATGGATGCTTGTAGCATGAACGTATTAAGAGATCAAGCAAATCAAACAGCAATACCAATAAGGGATATAGCCATCATATGAGTTGACCATAAATTCTCATATGAATTAATATAAAGATTCATGTAAAGAACTAAAAACATGCATGCAAGAGATATGGAATCAGATTCCTGCTCTATCACAAAGCTCACTGGATCATTCAGTGTTAGCATATAACACGCAACTGCTGTCAAATAAGCCACAATACTTGGATTCACACATTGCACCAATCTATAACTTATGGTTTACAAATCTCGTTGATGGGAATCATACAACATGATAGTAAATGTGATGACTTCACACAGTGTTGAACCAAGCCAATCTTGCACAAGATTGTTGGATGGACACAATGGGGTAACTTCAAAAACATCACCCTGAGGTCTTGATAATCCTCAGACGAAATGTAGGCTATAAATGTGCCATAAGGCTTCTTGGTTCAGTCAGTATCTGTGACTGCTGGGAAGTCTGAAATTGTGGCTATGGAAGTTGATCACATTCTATATTACTGGGACATGGCACGCAAATGGAAACTGAGCAACACTAGATTAACAAGAGGCAAGACAGACGGAGAGCGATAGACAGCCCATCAATGCAAACACATAATCATTGTTTTCAACTTAACCCTAAATGGTGTTTGAAATATAATGACTGATACCTGTTCCAATCTGTCCAGATCATCATCATCATACACTCTGATATCTAAACCCGGCTTAAACCCTTTCTTGGATCCAACTCCTGCCACTTGACCCAAATCCATTGGGCACACGTACTCTTCCCCATCTTCCTGCTTCTTCTTCCTTAAATTTCCAAAGTTACTAAAAACAAGTTTCTTTGGCTGAAAGACAAAGGCCAAGCAAAATCTTCAGTAATTGTCACCAACTGGGGAATGTATTTTTGCAAAGCATACGTTCTATTATATTCTAATAGACAAATACAAAATATCAAAACATGAAAGTCTGTAAGATGCAGTGGTTTTTAATTTTACTGAAGATGATTTGTAGCAGCTTAGGAAAGGTAACAGAACTGGCCCACAATTGTAGCACAAATGCATCATGATATGAGATATATATTTAAAGCCACACAGCCTTTGGGACTTGCTTCTAGAAAGAATCTATTGGAACAGCAGCTTTTTCTGGGATTGTGTCCCAAGGGCAATCATGTGAACCCAGGGGTGGGAGGGAACCACAATTGTATTAAGGAATTCTGGATAGGCATCACCCTTGCATTCCTGCATGCTATGGAACACCTTAACATTAATTTACATTTTAGCCCTGATCACCAAACTGAGATAAACTAGAAAACAAGTTTCTTCCAGTACCTTCACTTTGGCAGTAGCTGTTAGAAGGGCATAATCAGGAGACTCCATGGCCTCACGTTTTTCTTGTTGAGCTTCACTTCCAATCAGCAAATTAAAGTGGGTTGCCAAGTGCCGTCTCAGCAGCGTCTTATTTGGTGGGATGTTAAGCAGCTGTGCCATGGTCTCTACGTTAAAACGAGGTTCCAAAACCTGTACAGCAAAAATGAGATTTCAAAACTTGTTTATCTGAAAATCAAGTAACTCCTCATCAACAAACGCCAGTCTATTTACAAAATACTCAGGATGGAAATCCTAAGACTTCTAGAAGATTCCATCCACTAACTAAATAAAATCCAAGTCATCAACTAATAAAAATATATAAAAATTGAATAATTACCATTAGGCCACCATGAACACCACTTCCTCTTAAATTAGGAGCATATTCTGCAAGATCAACAGAACGCAACCATTCCATCACCCGATGATTAGTCCACTGGGAAACTTCTGATGGTGTGATGTTATTCTGACAATCAAAAACACATTCAGTTAAAACATTTATGAATTCATTCACTCATTCATTCATTCACTCATTCTGCTTATATTATGCCAAGTTCCATAAGACTCCTGGCAGATGGCAATTTTGGAGAGGGAACATCCACAATAGGCAATATCAATGTGCTACAGGTGATCCTCTTAATCCATGGTCTTCTTATCTAAGGTTTTCTATATATCCATGATTTATCACTAGAAACTAAACCTCAGTAGAACTGTAAAGGTTTCCATATATCTACTGTTTCAGCCTTGCTTCATGTTAGTTTATGCACGTGCAAAATGGCTGTTGAGCTTTTTTGCAGAAAGTACATTTTTTAAGGGTTAGGTCATCTGTGCAAAGGTTATCAGCATTTGCTCCCTTTCTTTTTGTTGAGTCACATCAGATCTTGCTTAGTCAATCTGAGTGCGAGGCTCCACTGGCTTCTTTGTGGCACATGGCCTCCTTCTTCTTCCAAGCAACTCCAAGACAGAAAGAGCAAGAACAGACAGACATACAATGGGCAGATGACAGCGATGAGAGGACTACCTTTCAATCCAAGAACTTATCCCTCAATTCACATAGACTGAAAGTTTTGTTCATGATGGCACTATCTATGGTTTTATCCAGAAAGAGAACCTCTACAAATAAAGTATATATTCTTTCTGCTTATATTCTGTAACATCAATCTTCAGTTACACCATGAATTCAACTTTCATACTATCAGTGACTTTTCAGCCTCCAAAACACACCCATTCAGAGCCAAACTTCCTCGTTAACCCTTACTTGATCTATTGTTAAAATATTCTACTTCAAATTTGAAACAACACAAACAAAACAGGCAAATGCAAATTAAGTAAGTTAAATAAAGGGGCTGAAGTATCTGTTCACCATTTCTTTCTTCATCTGTAATTCAAAATCCAGCAATGATATTCTTCAAACTCATTTATCACACTGTTAATCATGTAACTTGGTTCAAATGTCCTATGCATATTCATGATACCATATCACTGTAAACCTAATACATTCAAGGGATGATACTCAATTACAGCTGATTACATATTTTCCAAATGTTGTTTTGGATGGCTATAAAGTGGAATAATATATTTACTAAATTTATCCAAGATTAACTTGAAACTACAATATTTGCTTGTTCATTCAACTTTCAGAGATGTCTATCACCACACTAGTTTAATACTGAGGTCCTTTAACAAAATATTAATTATGTAAAATGAGAGATTTATGATTTTTAAATGTTCACACCTTTACCTCCTCCATTTTTAACTAAGGGCAACAATGCACTTTCATAATTATCTTTCTGATAATAGAAAAAAGGGCAGGACTAGAACTAACAAGTTTTTAAAAAGGAAACAGAAATATTAAGAGAAAGATATTAATCTTGAGATGTGGCTATCAACAGAGAACTTCTGCCTCAAGATGTGGGGGCTCACTTTTTCTAGAGATGTTAGGTAAGGAATGAATAGAGGGACGCTTCAGTGAGCAGGAGACTGATTTCTAAGATCTTTCTCATTCTAATATTCAGTTATTCAATAATTATCACTGGAGAAATTCATTTTTTAAAATGATCAATGAATTGAGAGAGAGGGGGAGAAGAAAACTAGACATCATGAAGAAGACAAAATTTCCAGGACAGGGATCACGATACACTAGATGTCCATAAGCAGGGATTCTCGACTGCTGAGTCCAACCCTATTTTCTATTGCCCACCGTCACCACAAATGCAAATAATCTAAAAATGGCTTTATCCTGAGAAACTGATTCTTACATTCAAACTATCACAGAAATACCGGAGTACAAATATTGGGGTGAAGAGGTCAATGTTAAAAGAGAAACATAAAATGGGACATCTTATGATGGAGACATGTATTTGTTCAGAAGAGCTAGCCCAGTTTGAACAATTTAAAATCAAACAAGGAAATGAGTCCATTCAGAGATAAAATTCAGTGACAGATAAATGGTAAATAAAGGAAGGACCTTTATGGTGCCCATGGTTTAACAACATATTCTAGGGAAGAAAATACATTACTATTGCCTGCCAAAACATTCATTATAATGAATTATGATCATGAATAAATATCAGATTTGAATATTAGCAGCGGCTACCTCATCAGATGGTCTCCTCCGTAGACAATTGGGTTCAAAGTTGTTTATTCTGAGGACCTGAATGGCACGTTTGATGCTAAGATGGTGGAGAACACTCACGACTTTCAAAGATAACAGGTCATCCTGTATAGGTGGATGTCAAGAACAAGCCAACAACAACAGCAAAAAAAACCAGAGTCAGATATCAGAGAGCATAGTTGCATTAATCTGGTATAGCATTAACCACATTGACTTAGACTGATCATCCAGAACACACGGAAGGATTCAAATTGCATAAAATCTAGTCTATTGTCATAAAAATTGGGGGTATGTTCCATCAGCTTCAATCCTTGACAGCAAAAAGGTTTGGTCAAGAAAACTATCAAAGAACGTAGTATATGCACTTGCAATTTGATTTTAAAAAGATTTAGGCATCCTTATGTGCTACAGACTTGAAATTATTATTTATATCAACAATATAGATATTAGGACATCTGGGGAAAACAAAGGGAACTGACAGTTGCTGAAGCAAAACCTAACGCAAAACTAGTGAGGTGTGAAAGGGTAAATAAAAATGTAACCAAGAATGGATAAACAGTGTCCTTGGGGTTCTCTGAGCTTGAAAAAGTTTAAAACTGGCATTACACTTCCAAATGTGAAATGTAAAAAATCGTGCAGAAATATTTTAAGACAAACCGAGAACTCTGCGTTCCTGAAGAAGATGAAGAATCAAGTTGTCACGTAGGGATGTATGAGGAAATGGATGCAAAGATTAAAGGGGGAGAAGATAAGTTCATGGTTCTCCAGATAAATAAATGAGGCAACAATTAAGCTGCTTACAATGGTCATGTAATGAAGCATTCGGCCATCCACCTTTCCTTCATCAAATTGTGTCTTATACTGGGGCAACCCAATGTCATCCAGCCACCCTAGAAATAAAAGGAAAAAGCAAATAACAGTGTTTCCTACAAACGTGAACAAACCGATGAAACATCATGGATGATAAACATCTTTTGTACTGCCAACTTGGAAAGATCTGTAAGCTACAGGCTCTTTTTTAAAAAATTCTATTTCGTAACATCAAGTCACTTAGAGCAAAGGCAGTTTTCATTCAATAAGTGGACAAAAATGGTGCCTCTTCATGAAAAGGAGGCCATGTCATTGCAGAGCCTGGACAGAAATTGCAGCCATGAGAAGCAAATAACCTGGTTTAGATACGGCAGCTGCTTCTCTATTCTTCCATGTTAGGGTTTGGTTTATCTGTAGGGGTGGGGCAAAATGTTCCAAGCTCAATAAGTCTCTGCTCAGAAATAGGTGGGGTGGCAGGAAAATCAACTAAGCACATACTGCTATCTGCCAGCTGGGTAAGTTTATTGCTGTTTTTAAATGCTTTGCTTCTATAATAGTGAGTTTCTGGAGGAAAGGCAGGGCATAAATCTAACAAACAAACAAATCTCTCCTATAAAAGCAAATGCTCAAATGCACACAAGCGCATCCACGTACATTAATACCAATATACTGAGATATCAAGTTGCCAAATGCAAAAATATGTACTGTGCGGGTGCATTAGGAAAAAAAAATGCAAGCCAATAACTAGAAACTTCTTTTTACTGTTGTTACACTATCTCTAAACCAGTGTTGTCCCAACACATTGACAACAACATGGGTGTATGTAACACTCTCCATGTTTCTTCCCACTACCCTCCGCGTTTG